TTTATGGCACAGACTTCTACTCTGTAGGGGAGCAGACTGTTATTTGTGGCTTAAGGCCTCATGTGATTGGCTCTGGAGGGATATAATTATGTGGGGGAAATGTAAGAATCACAAAGGCTTCCATGTTGAGATGACTGGTTGCTAGGTTACGAGGTAAGGAAGATGTTTTTTTTTTAAGTGATTTTCAACTAGTGTTTTTGTGACTTGCCATCAGCCCATCATGAGAAAACTTCTGCTTATCAGGGAATATCCATATTACCTATTTATAGTGTTGAGGTTGTTTGATACTTTGATACTTTTCAATTTAATTATAGTGTTGGACTTTTTTAACAAGTGTAATTAAATTAGTAAACTTGTGTTGGGTACTGTGTTGGAAACGATGGATGGATGGATGGATGGATGGATGGATGGATGGATGGATGGATGGATGGATGGATGGATGGATGGATGTATAGGTGGATGCATAGATGGATGGAGTGATTGATGCATGGATGGATGGATGTATAGATGGATGCATGCATGGATGGATGGATGGATGGATGGATGGATGGATGGATGTATAGATGGATGCATGCATGGATGGATGGATGGATGGATGGATGGATGGATGTATAGGTGGATGCATAGATGGATGGAGTGATTGATGCATGGATGGATGGATGTATAGATGGATGCATGCATGGATGGATGGATGGATGGATGGATGGATGGATGGATGCATAGATGGATGGAGTGATTGATGCATGGATGGATGGATGTATAGATGGATGCATGCATGGATGGATGGATGTATGGATGGATGGATGGATGCATGGATGGATGGATGGGCGCATGTATGGATGGATGGATGCATGCATGGATGGATGGATGGATGGATGATGTATTAATTAATAGTTGGGTGAATGGATGAATGAATGGATAGTTGGCTGCATGTGTGGTTAAACCACATAACTGCTGAAAAGCTGTTGAAATTTTGTTTTGTATACACTCTGTGTATACTGTACAAACTGACAATAAAGTTGGTCTAGGTCTAAGTCTAATTGTGCATTTTTATATGCATTATTTCCTTGGTTTTTCTTAATGTTAATTTGTATAATAACTCAATGGATGTTATTTCTTTATTTCATACACATTATGGAATTTTAAGAGTGTGGGCATCAATCGGAACCTTTAACAGGGAGCATTAAAAGTTCCAGGTTGTTTAGTTGGGGGCACTCAGACGCAACCTGGACGGCAATCGGTGTCTTGCTTTCTGCTGACACTTACCCCTGATTTACAGGTCAGTAGTTGCTAAAAATAACTCATGTTTATTCTAAAAATCACATTTTATGTTATGTAGTTTTATAAAGAGATTTTTGCACCATGGTGAACATTTAATGGACATTTCCGTCATGCTCAGGGCATCAGGCAAAGACACTTCGGCGTCGCGGGTATGTGGGTTTCTTCTACCTGCGTGTTGTCTTGTAGGCAAACCACTAGGTTGTAATTACTGATTTTGAACTAATTTATTTGGGTTCTCAGACACTGTTGGTTAAAATGAATAAAATAAAATATAGCTGCATTTGTTTTTGGGACTTAAATGTAAGAGTTTACTTTACGTGGGTTATAGGGCGAATGCCTTGTTCATACTTTGTTCTAAGCGTTGAAGAGGGTTTACATTTTCCTGGTGAATGGCTGTTTTTATTAAAGTGTATTTGTCCAGAATCTTTACAGATTCACAGTATCACGTATACACATGGGCGGTTCTAGACAGGGGCCAATGGGGGCCAGTGCCCCTGTAGGTCATGTCCTGGCCCCTGTTATGGCCCCTGCACTGAAGACATAATACTCAAAGAAATTCTAATGATGCACTGGAACAGACATGGTTACTGATAGTTTCCTTTGGATCTATTTCATTTATTTTTTCTTTACAAATTATGTTTTAACATAACAAAACAACATTGTAACAAAAGTGACATCAGGTGTATCTAGTCACTCCATATAACAGTTTGAGTCAGCGACGACATCCCTGTTTAGAAGGCTTATGCTTCCATCCCCAAGCCGCTGTACAAGGAGGTAAAGGAGTATATCCAAGAGTTGTTCCTGAAAGGGTGAATGGTTAGATCCCTGTCTTCATTTGCTGTACCGATTGTCTGTGTGAGAAGGAAGGACAGGTCATTATGTCTTTGCATTGACTATCGATGACTCAACAAAAAGAATATACCAGACAGAAATCCCCTCCGTCGTATACAGGACATGCTTGACTCGCTTTGAGGCTACAGTTGGTTTTCTATTCTAGATCAAGGGAAGGCCTATTACCAAGGCTTCATTGCAGAGGGCTTAGGGTACCTAATAGCTTTCACAACCCCCTGGGGTTTGTATGAATGGTCAGAATATCCTGTGGGCTGTCAGATGCTCCAGCAGCCTTCCAAAGAAGCATGAAGGAAATGCTTTACACATTTTTAACCCCTTTTGCACTGGCCAGAAAAACAGTTTTGAACCCAGGAATAATCAGCTTTTAGTGGCAGTGGGAAAAGCTCACTGATGCCAGTCTATCCAGTTCCAACGACTCGACAGCCGACCTGCGTTAAAATCCCCTCGGCTCAGATTGGCATGCTGTGCGAACACCAGACCTGGGTTGACCCTCTAAATTATGTGACACCACCGAACGCAACGTACAGACGTCAACACACCACACCAGTTGCTTCTGATCTAACAAGCCGAAACAACTCGGTTTACATTTGATAAAAAAATGGCGCAGTTCTGTTTAGAAGGATTCGGACAGATAAAAGAGCGACATATTAAAGAATACTGACGCTCTGGCTCCTGTCCATGTTGCTCTCCATTATTTGCTTCCCTGATGTCCGTCACAGTGGCAACATCATTAACGCCCCCCCAGCATTATGCCGTCATCAGACATGCAGTGATGGGAGACAGTGGCCGCGCAGCTTGCCAGCAGGAGGTCAGACTTTTCGCTCAAATGGGAAAAGAGCTAAAAGCTGATTGTTAGCAGGTCATCCCGGTTTTGGAAAACCCGTGTTTTTTTAGTGAGACAGCAGATTTAGGGATGAGTGTTGCATTCCTTACCTAAATGTCTTCTATTTTTACAGAACATTTAAAGAGCATGTTGATATGCTCAGCAGAGTAATACAAGCCCTACAGCGCTACAGGGTCAAGCTAAGAAGGCATAACTCTGCAATGCAGAGGGCTAGGGCTCTTCTACCTGTAAATGTCTTGCAGGCAAACCACTCGGTTGTAATTACTGATTTTGTACTGATTTATTTGGGTTCTCAGACACTGTTGGTTAAAAATTTGTTAAATACAATATAGCTTCACTTGTTTTGGGGACTTAAATGTAAAGGTTTACTTTATGCGGGTTAGTTTTTTTGGTGAATGGCTGTTTTAATTGAAGTATATGTGTCCAGAACCTTTACAGACTAGAAGCCTGTTTTAAAACTGTAAAGGCTACAGCGAATTGCACTATATGCTTAAAATAGCATGTATATAGGAGGGTGTATAAGTGAGGATGTTTGTGATCATACGGAGAGAAGAAGAAATGGATCAATAATTGGATAAATGGGCAGGCCTTTGCACTTATCATTATCAATGGATTTGAAACACAGCTCAGGAAATATGTTTAGATACTTTTTGTTGTAAAATAAAAGTCAGATGCAACCTGGACGACAGCCGGAGCACAGAGTGTCTTATTTGCTGGCTGGCTGGCTGGCTGGCTGGCTGGCTGGATGGATGGATGGACGGACGGTTGGATGGATGGATGGATGGATGGAAGGAAGGAAGGAAGGAAGGAAGGACGGAAGAATGGATGGATGGATGGAAGGAAGGAAGGAAGGAAGGAAGGAAGGAAGGAAGGAAGGAAGGAAGGAAGGAAGGAAGGAAGGAAGGAAGGAAGGAAGGAAGGAAGGAAGGAAGGAAGAATGGACGAATGGGTAGATGGATGGATGGATGGATGGCAGGAAGGAAGGAAGGAAGGAAGGAAGGAAGGAAGGAAGGAAGGAAGGAAGGAAGGAAGGAAGGAAGGAAGGAAGGAAGGAAGGAAGGAAGGAAGGACGAATGGGTAGACGGATGGATGGATGGATGGATGGATGGAAGAAGGGACGATGGGTAGACGGATGGATGATTGGATGGGTGTATTTTTCAATACTTAGAGCAGTGCATACCTTCTTTCATGAAAGAGTTTTCTAGATCGTGCAGCAGCCTCTGTTTTCCTGTGATGCACAGAGTCGGATAGGGAATACAGGGATTCATTTGAATTGCTCTCTCCTTTGGGTGTTTTACACAAATGAAGCAATATTACAACCAAATGTCTGCCTTCTGTTCTTGCAGGATACTTTAGCCCACCAGCGTGGCTAATCCTGTTCTGTATTCCATACCACGGCTCATGTGATCACTGTCTTTAATAATACATGCTCAGTTATATCACGAGAATACACGGCACAATCTTAGGGGAATTAAGAGTCAATGAATAATCTTCATCTAATCCTGTTATTTTGACTACATGGTTAATAGAGTGATGTCTCTATTATTTCCATAAATGCACTGACTAGCTGTAATGCCTTGGCCTTTTTGGGCTACCATGTGCTGTCTGACATACATCAACAAGCAGATGTTTTTCATCTGCTGTTGGTTTCTAAAGCGAATGCTTGGCATGGCAGGATCATTAATTTACTACTTTTCTATGTAGTGGTAGTGGAGATGTTTATTTATGCAAATAAGTTAACAATTTAAAGCGGCTAATATAAAAAAAGCAAATATAAAAAGGTGTAATGTTTGCAATAATAGCTAATACTTTGTTGGAGTTAAACTTTCAGCCTCTCTCATTCTCTTTGTCACATGAAACTCAGCCAGATGACTTCTATGCCTGCAGCAGAGTTACAGTGAAGGCTGGTATTATTAAAGATTATATGACAGTGTCAGGGCTTGGCTAAGTGAAGGCTGTAAGTAGAGACTCTTAGATTAGTCGCCTCTTCTCACCTAATTATCGGTGTGATTTTATTACAGGTTGCTCTGATACTGGCCCGGGATCCAGTTACAGACCCAAGCTGCCTACATATTAGATGACAGTTGGGTCGAGATGAGGTTCTTGTAAAGCTGCCTGAGCCAGAAGGTGAAGTAGACTTCAATGTTTTTATATTTCGTTTGGTTTAATTTGCAACTTTTGGACAAAGACTTTAATATAAATTGCTGGATCTCAGGTCACCTTGTGGTGCACCTTGTTGACCAAAGTGTTTTCAAAGGGTTTTTAAAAGAGAAGGGTCTCTCCGTCTCTCTCTCTCTCTCTCTGATGGCAGCTTGCAATGCTGGGGAGGCTGAATTAGCTTGTTTCACTAAATTCCAACCCTTAAATCACAGCAGCCTTTCAGGCTAGAGAGGCTGAGACTGCTGCTGCTGGGAGCTTTGTGGTAAGTTAAAGAGAAGTTTTTCTTAAATATATCATGTTTATTCTTTCTAATTGCTTGTATTTAAATGATCTTTATTGTGATTTTTGTATATCAAACACAATCTTTAAACTTTAACTATCAAGTAAAGATGACATTTATTAAATAATATAATTCAATTGTATTCTACCATATGGATTCTTTGATGAAAAAGGCAGCGGTTTTTAATACATCGTCAAATTTGTAAATTTTGTTGTAAATTAAACATTTCTTGTATCAAGAAATACTGTGCTTGATGTATTTTTTTAGCATGATTTCAATTAAAAATATTTTGCCTATATATACAATTAGACAACCCTGGTGGGGTTTTTTAAAATTCCAGTCCCTGGTGTCCTGCAGCTTTTAGATTTGAACCAAGGGGTTGAAATACTTCCTCAGTATGCATTTAAGGGCTGACTCCAAGTGCAGTAAATTGTAGCTCATAGCTCCTGCTTTAACTCCTTCCTTCAATGTTGGCGGGGAAAATAGTAAGAACATCGTGGATAGGAAAGGAATCTGGACAGACTTCAACCTTAGCTTTATAAAATGGTAAATCGCCTTTAGTTATATAGCGCTTTATCATTTCTAAGGACCCCAAAGGAGGTCCCTATTAGAGGTTCCTTTTTTAAATGAACTATGATTAGATTAGATTTAGATTAGATTCAACTTTATTGTCATTACACAGGTACAGGTACAAGGCAACAAAATGCAGTTTAGGTCTAACCAGAAGAATAGCAGCAAGTGCAGGATAAATAATGGTTCTATAAATACAGGACATGGGTTTCTACTGAATGAGTATAGAGATGAATACTATTATAAATAATGAATATAATATATAGGTCACTAGTGTTATGAACTAAATTTACAGCTGGATATGTACCGAATATAATATATAGGTGGATATTACTATAAAAAAAGGTTTTAACAGTTATGTACAATAGCATATATACAGATGGGTTTTACTATAAAATGAATAAATAAAGTTTGTGCAGAAGCTATCTAAATTAAAGTGCAGTGGAAGGTAATTGCATATTACAGTTAAAGTACATTATTGCAAATGTATATGTAAACAATGTAAATGAGAGGAAGCATAAAGGATCCCTTTCCTACCTCCGTTCTAGCTGCCAGCAGGATTTGGACCACACTTACACTTCTGTTTTAGGTGTCTTTTATGATTTGCTGTATTCCGATTGAGCCAGGTTCTACGTATTCCTGTTAATGACCTGATATTTTGACTTATATTTGTTGAAATACAGACACATCCAAAAGGTGCAGGACTCTGAACCTCAAGCGCTAAAGCTGAGGGACCATTCTCTTTCGTATTAGACCTACCAGCTTATCAAACATAAAATGATCGCTTTCTTTCATTTAAAGGGATTGTAACTAATTTGATGGCGTGCCTAGAGTCATTGCTGTTTGGAAGACAGAGCTAAAAGTCTTCAACATCCTGCCCTACAGTATGTCGTAAAATGCAGCTATCTATATTGTGAAATGCACCAATCCTTCCTGCCAATAAAATGATGGTGCCATTCCTTTACTTAACAGCCTCCTTCTCTAAATGGCCTCCAGATGGTCAATATGACCAAACACTGTTATTCTATTTTGAACATACTACAGGACAGGTCTCCAGATATGTTGGGGCTTTGTCCTTCATTTTGATTGGAAACTATAATTTGTCTTTTTTGCTGTTTTTATGGATTAATGGTTTCTTCCTCTTTTGGTAGCTTTTCAGTCTAGGTTTTTTATAGCAGCATGTTTAAGTGGGTGTCTTAAAATGCAGCAAAATTAGCTAAATGTTGTAAATTAACCTGCTAGAAGCTCAGAAAATCATAAAATCAACTTCAAATTTCAACATAGTAAGAAAAAGAATCTCCTATTCTGGCATTTAACATTTTTAATTCTAACCAACCCAAAACAAAAGTGAAGGGAAAAAAAAACTAAACTTTAGTTTTCCTATTACCACACTAAATAGCAATTGTATGTAGATTTATATAAATTATAGATTATTTTAAAAGTTTGGTTTCTGTTTTTTTTTATATAAAGAACCGAATGCAGGAAAATATTTATATTAAGCTTTTTTCAGTAAATCTTTTTGCTTTGCAAGTACTTGAGTGTTATAAATCTTTTGGCTTAAGCCATGTTTATTGAGGCTTTAGTCAAAACAACCAAGTTCCTCCCATTTATCAAGAAAGCCAAACCTTTTAAGGAGTCTATCAGGCAATGATGACAGTTTGGTTTTCCCTTTCAGAGATGGCTAAAATGCTCTCATACTCTGGACAAACATTTTTCTGTTTTATTTAAGATAGCAAAAAGTTTAGTATTCTGTAAATTATTTGTATTAAGCCAAGTTGTACCGTTAAACATAAAATTGTTGTGTTTTGCTGATGAACTGCTTGCGAGACCTCCCACCCTCTGACTTTTCTCCCACTCTGCTGTGCTGTCCTGTGTGATTGACCGTGTCTCTTTCTCTAAGGTGGCAGTTGGAGACAGGTGCTGAGTGCTGCTGAGTGTTGCTGCGTGTGTGGGCCCCAGAGGCCTGGTTCAACATTCCCCTGAAGGTTTGATAGACATAGTCCTTCTGGGAGGAAGAGGAGTGGAGGAAATGCAGCATCGGTCCACGCAGATGAACAACCAAAGGGGTAAGTGAAGCCCAGTAGTTTGTGTATGTGGATGTTTGTGTGTGCAACTCACCCTATACAAGCCCTCTACTTCCCATTTTGCTTTACAGCTTATCTCCCAAACTGCAAACTGACTTCATTTCCCATTCTATTTCTCTTATATTATTCTCACAGAAACATTTTTACACATGCATGCGTAAATAAAACCATATTCATGAGCCCCATACCTCAAAATGTTATGCAGCTGAATTAACCTGTAAAAAAAATTATATTAATGAAGATTTTCCGTTTTTGGGACAATTTGTAACTTGGAGACTATATAAGTAATATGTTGGCATTTTGCACACTTTTATAAAAAAAAGCTCTACATCTCTCCTTTGCAAGTGTTTAAGAAGGTTCGCAGAGCATGCATGTTAAACACTAAATATGCATGCACAGTTGTGCAAATGGAGGGAAAGAGGAAGTTATAAAAAAAAAAGGGGATCCATAGAGAGGCGACCATATTTGGCATGAGTTCAAATGCAAGCAGGAGATGCAAATGAGATAAATGGGTGGTTGTCATGGAGACTTGATGTTCTGCAGTGATGGCTTGCAGTAAACCTGACCACATTTGCGGTATGGCCGTTGCCAAGCAGACGGTACTATTATGAGAGTGTGAGAGAGTTAGAGTGAGAGGAGTAGAGGAAGGAAGGAATGAAGATGTCAGTTTGTCCCACAATGCATTGCATCAGCATGACCTGCATCAGAGCGACTCAGTCTGTCCCAGTGGGACATCAGCGATAGACAGACACGCAGGTAAAACTTCTGTCTATGAATCTATCGGTGGGATTTATGGCCATGTGCAGCTATTTCTTTGACTGTTTATTGTTTTTGTTTGTTGTCATGTTTTAGCTGCTCTCTGTAAGGTGTACGTGACTCTAAGATGAATGTTTTGTTTTTGATATTCTTCCTTCATTGCATGTAGAAGTTGGTTGTAAGGCGAGTATAGGGGTTCCGTATTTTATCTTCAGACTGAATAGGAGATAACGCTTTATTGAAATCTAATGCAAACATGTTTTCATTTGCTTTTATGTTATATCCGCCAGTTCAGGGCTGCTCTAAAACACTGGGATATGGAAGGGGACAAGACAGACATTGTATCTCAGATCTGACGGTTTGAGCTGCACCTGCTTTCCACCACTGTATCATAATGGAAAAAAAAACAAGTTCAGAGAAAACCGCAAAGTATGCAACAGGCAAATGCGACTGCGTTTCTGCATGAGACTAGGTGCATTTGTTTAACGTTTGAGCTCATAGGCAAACCATAAACATTTTTTGCTTTGGTCTCAGACGTTATAGTTTTTCAGCTCGTAAATAGGGCAATTTTAAATTGAACACTGCTACTTTCTTCCCTATTCTAAATCATTGGGTTCTGATGGTCCGTAATGTGATTATAATGTGTACTTGGAGACCTTTTGACGGATGAGCCTTCGGAGTTTGGCTTACAGAAGCCCTGGGATGTTTCCTCAGACCAATGAGAGTTCACACCTGCCAACCAGTCATTTACAGAGCTCTGACAAATAGCTCAGCCCTGAGATGATATGGAAGCGTAAAATGGAAATTATCAGGGGTGATATTAAATACGTCATGGCATAAGGAGGTAAAGCTTACAGTGAGGACTTTTTTTTATTTGACTTAGATAAATAAGTCATTTTTAATATTAGGAACTTCAAGGTTTTGGAGCTTTTTTGTGAAATTTGCTCTGTAATTCATTAGCCAAATGTTGCAGCAGAGATGATTTCACCATAATGCATCTTGAAGCTAGGGTTAATGGAGCTGGTTTCTCAAACTTGCCAAATCTAACGGCAACACTATACTTCAGTGTTTATGTGCTGAGAAGTTAGCTATTTCACTTTTCTTCATGGCGGAATTCCCCTTTTAGTTTACCACTTACTCACTTCTTCCTGTTTTCGGTTGGTTAACATTTGTTTGAGTGTGAACAGTTTTCTCAGACTCATTGTGATTATTCGCATTGCTGCTCGCTGTGTTGTCTCCTCCGACTCCATAGAGAAAAGTCTTGTCTGTAATGTCAGACATGTGGAAAACCAAAGAATAATGTCTGGTTGATTTTATGCAGAAAAATATATATAGTGTGAACCCAGTAAAGACATGTTTTTATTTTGGTTTAGTTCAACTTTTTGCTGATCCCAACTTGAAAATGCTGCAAGCCAGAAGTAATTTGCAAACCTAAGAAAAAAGCAGAATTTGTTTAACTTTTTAGATCTATGCTTGGATCTGTAGGGAAGTAAAACTGTGTCCAAAATAGAAACCAATTCTCCTAGGCCTAAAAACCCCTTACAAAAAAATAGATAAAATTATAATTGTGGAATATATAAGTAAAGAAGCAAGATAGATGGTGAAAGATAGTCATAGAAATCAGAAGAAAGAGGCAGTAGGGTTGCTCTGAGCTGCATCAGAAAAGGGGAAATTCCACCTCAGTGTTTGAGTTTCACAGAGACTTCAGATCTTTAGAGCTAATGCTAGAATGTGTTGAAGATTATCAATGTTTAAAATGAGGGTTTAGAAGGAGCTCTGCTTGCATCCGCAGCTATACTTATGATAATTTTAGACAGTATTCCATGAGGTTTGGCGCTATTATATAAAGTAGTTCTTCTCATCACTACAAACTAACAGCTGGCATTAGATAAAGGAACAAATCAATCAATTATTCTATTTTGAAGAACAAAGTATTTCACAATCTCTCTTTGCAAAACTATAATACTATTGTATTAGAACTGTGAGTCATCGACATTGCAGCTTAATTATCAAGAGGCATGGAGTATTTAAGGGACTGATTTGCAAAGATGACTTATGGTCATGGTTGGATTAAAGGGAGCTATGCAACAGTGGAAAATGTCCCTGAGAAAATAAGACATTTCAGTCTCTCTTTCTGTGCAGCTCCAAAGTTATACATCAGCAATATAAAAAATTATATATGTGATAAATGTATAACATATGTAAAAATTTACCTAACTCTTACAGTAGGTGAGCATTATATAATGTTCCACTCAGATTGTAATGTATTAAAGCTTCTATATTTGAAAAGCTGTGAAACATTGTAATAATTTCACATTGTAATTATTGTAACGTTATGTTAGCTGGAGCCTTAAGGCTTAAATTTACACTTAGTCCTAAACCACAAGATAGACCTCCTATCTCAAAAAACATCCTAGCCGTTTATGCAAATGCTTATTGTGAGCCTCCTAACCAGACATGTTAAACTCTTAACTTTGAGGAGCAGTATTCAGAAATCTTTAATCTGTTTTTCCTTCAAGTAACCTGAATAATAAGATCTTTAGCAGGACCTTAAAAAAATGCAATGACATGTGGAGGAGTCAATTAATCCCTTTAATTAAGTTTTTTTGAAATGCGACACCAACCCATGATGACTGTGACAAATAATGTAAAAAGCACAAATCTCATAAGGTGAAGGCTAGTTTTATTTTTCCCACTTTAATGACACAGTTGCTCTCCCCAGAAATGTTTTTTTTTTTTTTTTTTTTTGTCGTGTTTCACACAGGATGGTAAGTGGTTTCACACAACCACCCGCCTCAGGTTAACATAAATAATCAGGGTATTTTGGGGCGTAAATAACCATCTAATGCAAAACCAAAGTGGTGCATTGCAGTTTGCAGTGCTATAGACAGAAAGTGTCTACTTTGGTGTTGACCCCATTCAGAAGAGCAGTAAAATCGAGCTTTCAGCTTTAACTAACACATGTTTAGACTAATCGGAATTATCAGAACATCACAAATTTCAGAATCATTTCTTTAAGCACATAAGATATTTTTTTTTCTCAGTCAACTTGTATTTAGAAATGTAGGGAATATTTCTTAAATCATTTTTTTAAGTAAAGAAGCCTTAATACGTCATATAGAAACCATATAAATACTCCTTTCCACTGATCATATTCAAGGTGAAATGAGATTTCACAAGAATTTGCGTAATTAGCAGCAAAGCATTCTGTAGGCTCCCTACAGATGTCTGGGCCGCTGTCTCCTAAAGCTGCCGGATATTGCAGCATCATAGCTAAATTCAATTTCTGGCTCCCCCAGTTGTAATGACTTTTCCCTGAATGAAAAGGTGGCAATACAAGAGATTTAGCAGCTTAGTTGCTCTTGTGTTGTCCCACTTTGCTCTTTAAAAAGCTGCTGACCTGCATAAAAACTATGCTATACTGACCCCCTTTTGTGATGTTTTATATCCACGAAGTATACTCGTTCACCTTTGTGTTTCCTTAAACGTATACCAGCAGCAGTATATCTAGTATATAACTACAGTGCAGATTGGGTATGCTCGGTGTACCGTGTCATGCTGTTGCAATGTCAGACTGAGCAGAGGGTTGCATGCTACAGCAGAAAAGCAGCTCCAAGGAGAAAGAGGGGAAGCCGGACAGAAGCCAGACCTATTCTGTCACACGCTCCCTGTAAATCTTTCCATGCTTGTTTCCTCCACACCCCTTTTGCTATTCATTCTTTCCAGCTGCCATTTTCTACCTAACTTTCCTTGTATTTTTGACCTTGTTTCTTCACATACGTCACTCGTACTCTAACTTCCCTGTCGTGATATTTAATTCTTGATACCCCACTTCATTTTCCCTGGTCTTTCTTTGCATTTATGTTTATTTAGCTTTTCTAAATTATTCCCTGATGATTTTGTTCCTGCCCATTTCCTCTCTCCTTCCCTAGCACCACTGAAAAGGCTAGGGAAATGCTGCTCTAATTGAGCCAGTACTTCCTGGTGTTGTTTTAGGGAGGGGGGGCGTGGTCGGCTTGAGTGTAGATCAGAGGTAGGGAGAGGTAACTGCAGGATCTGTATGCACAGTGCAGTCAAAGCTCCCTCCTCTTCCTCCTCTTCTTCCTCCTCCACAGCTGTTGCTACTGCCGCCCAGCGAGCAGCTTTTTCCTGCTGCAGACAGACGACTCAGAGGCTGGGGAATCAGTAAAGACACAACCCAGCCCGTCTCAGCACAGCTCGCCACAGCCTGGCTCAGACACTCGAAGACGTTTGGGAGGGGATACACTGCAACGCATTCACCCACGCACACACGCACCAGGCTCTGACACACACTCCTCCTCGCTCACTCTCTCTCTCTCTCTCTCTCTCTCTCTCTCTCTCTCTCTCTCTCTCTCTCTCTCTCTCTCTCTCCCTTTGGTCCTCGCTTCTGCACTGCTCCTTCACTCATTCGCTGCTGATTCACTCACTCCCTCGCTTGCCTCTCCTCTGCGAGTCGCCCTGCCTTGCTGCGTTCTGCCTGCCTTCCCTCTGCCCGCCTGCCTGCCTGAGAATGGTCCAGCCGGTGCCTAAGGGTCTGCTGTCGCGGCCTGTCTGAATGCGTGCATAAACACACAGAGCCAGTCGTCACACGGAAGCTCACGCACACAGAGCTGGAGAGCAATGTGAGAGGTAAGAGCTGGGCTCACCACACTCCACCATATCTCATTGGTTTATCTAGATCTTTCCTCCTGTGTGAGCTTTATTTTGCAAAGTAAGTCTCCATGCAGTGGAGAATATAGATAGAGACATGGAGCCCTGTTTCTGTAAGTGGCTTCTGACATTGCTCTGTGTTGTAGCTTGTTTTATGGTCATGAGCATTCACTCACTGAAAGACACATTCTTGGCTCAAATCAGTCAAACTTCTTCCTGAGGGTAGCGCTGGTTTGCAAGAAAATATGCTGGTGTGTGTGAGAGGGAGAGAGAGAGACTTTGGAGGGCTGTGGTTTTTCCAGGAAGCAGTGGAGAGGATCAATAGATCGCCCACTCAGCGTTCATTCCCTCCATCTGACTCAACATTGGACATGTTAGGATCCTGCAGGGATTGGTAAACCTTGAGTCTGGTAACCATCTCCCTAACCCCCCCCCCCCCCCCCCCCCCCAACCCACCCCCTCCATTCGCTGCGTCAGCCTAAAGGTGGAAAGCATGGCTCCACATCCTTGTGTGTTTTCAACATGTATGCAGCGTGAGCCGAACTCCCGCCCCAGCCTATGTAAATTACATGTGACATGGAAAGCCGCCGCTACCTTTTATGGTGAGAGCTGTATTTCAGTACAGTAGAATGTTGCCAAGTATTTCGGGTCGCGGGAGGAGAAGAGTGTGTTTAGAGGGTGACTCTGTCTGTGGGAGTGTGTGTGTGTGTGTTAGCGTGTTTGTCTGTCTGAGTGTTTTCATAAGTCTGACAGCAGGCAAGTGACTAAAAGAAAGGAAGAAAGTTTAGAAAGGAGCCAGAGAAAAATAAGAAAATCCAGTAACCAGGCGGGATTGTAGGTGTTGATGTTTTTACCGGAGTGAAAGTAAGTGGACTTTGAACTTTTTTAATGTTTTAATTGATTGTTTGAGGGGTTTCTTGTCATGTTCTTCTTTCATGTTATCGTCATTTTTAGAACTTTGCGGCATTTGCTTTGCATTTCCTTTTTTTTAAATTCCAGGAACTCTCCGACACACTGCGCAATTCATTTAGTCAAGTCATTAGGTCTGGTAAAAAAAAATAAAAATATAACTAATGTAGCAGATGTTGGTAATTTACACAGAATTGAACTCTTGCTTCCTCTCGTTTTTCTCCTTTTTTGTCTAAACTTTTAACCATCTCTACCCTCCTCCTGCAGGCTTGCTTCTTGGCGGTGTGTTGGGAGGAAAAAAGAGGAATGTTATTGTTGTGACTGAGTTTGATTCATGGTGGCTAGTAGTCAAACAACTTCACTTTATGTACACATATGGACAGAAGTGTGATATGTGAGGTGGAGTTTGTATAAAAGCCCTTCCTGCATGTTGACCCGTCCCATTCACTGTGCGGCGGTGATGTCAGGGCAACATGCTGCTACTGTCGATGTAAATACATATATAAACAGGTACAGTCTCCTATCCACTGATGTATGTCACCTATGATTTATAATCTGCCCTACAGACAGGATTATGTGGATGGCTGAGTCTACACTGAAAGGCTAAGCCTTTATTACACGAGGAATCCTCTGCATGTTCCTCTGATGTTATGACAACAGTTTAACCTTATCTGAGTGACACTTTCCCAGAGCTTTTGTTGGGTAAGTCACTCACCACTTAGCACAAGTCCAGCTAAGCTAATAATAATAATTGAGTCCAACAGCTGTCAGAGGCGAGGAACCGCTCGGGATTACTCCTATAATTAACACGTCTTTAATCTTACATGATACTTATCTATTTCTGCCCTCATCAGCAGCTAATACTTTAGGAAGAGATAGACAAATCTAACAGTTAAGAGTGTTCTTTCATCTCGATTTTATATGGGAAAGTAATTATTAGGCAAACAAACAATTAGCAGTGTAATATCACTGATACTAGTTCTGATTTGTCTGTTAAAAGTGTCCTCTAAACAAGTCAGTAAATATACTGGTGAAACAATATGTTCGCCAAAACACTATTTAATCTGCACTTCCCAGTCAAACTTCTGCAATCCTAACTAGAAGTAGACCGATACATTGGCTGATTTTTGCCTGATTATTGCATTCTTTTTTTTCCCGGTGCTGCAATGGACGATTCATAAGTGCATTCAGTAGCCATGCTGTGAGTACATATTGTGGCAGCGCATATTGGAATCTGTTAGACTGTTATAAAATAATCAGTGTAGGCATTGGCCCTAAAAAACTTTATTGATTGATATATATAACCCTAATTATATAAGAAAATGTGCTAGTTTAGGTATTATCTCATTGAAGGGTACTAAATCCTTATCTAGGTCCTAAATCATCCATTGCTTCCCCTGTTATATGGAGTCATGTTTAAATGCATTTTTGAGCATGTATGAAAATTGATCTTCAATCAAAAAGTCACAGTTTTACAATAACTACTCAAAATTTTAGTGTTTCTCTTCCTTGGTGGTACATAATTCAGGTATATTCCATTGAGAACACACGTCCCTTGAGATCCCATTTTGTGTGACATGGTGCTGTATAAATAAACTGGATTAAAAAAATGAATTAAATCAACATAATTGGGACACTCCTTGATGAAGTCAGTCCTTCTTCAACCCTCACTGATTTATAATGCATAAACATGTGAGACTCAATAAACATGAGTGTATAAGTAATCAGTCCTACAGCACATGTCTGAAGTCTTTATTTTTGCACTTTTTAAGGAAGAACAAAAATGTACCAAACATACACCATTGTTAAAAGGAATTTAGATTTCCAATCATATGTAAGACGTACTTACAATAAATTATATAATTATCTCAAAATAGAATTACGTTTAGGTTCATCAGTACATCAAAAATACATCAATTACATTTGTACTCAATGTAGCTATATAAACCACAGAGGATAAACTACTAAATTTTTTATTTTTGCATTTTTTTGGAAAACAGAAATACACAAAGCTGCATATTCTGGCTTTACCGTGGCAGTTAAGTATTTTTTTTTGTTGATAAATGTTTGGTTTATTGTTTTTTTTTTCTTAATAAAAGTTACCAGTGAAAAACACAATATATAAAACACAGCGGCCATTTTGTTATTTAAATGCCTTAATTTAGAAATATTTGCATTTCTAAATACTACAAAGCCATCTGCCTTTAACCTTCAACTCCTCAGAAAAACTTGGTGCTCAAACACAGCACCTAGTGCAAGGCATCATGGGTAAGATTAGAAATAGGATTCAGTCTAAGAGAGGCAGTTACTTAAAAAGTATTGCTTTGCTTTTTAGGCAAGCCGGATAAGAAAATATAACAACCGTATTTAAAAATATAAACTTCCTGTATATTCCTGTACAGTATGTTTACTTGTTCATGGGAGGATTTTTTCCCCCCTCATAATAGAAAAGAACAACATAAACATTCTCTTGGCTGGCTTTTGGTCTCTAACATTTCAAGTTAGGTTTAATATATCTTCAATAAAATCTACTGCAAATTAAAACTTAATATTAGTGTAAAACCTCCACAGTTGTCGATATTTTTTTTTTTTTTGTGGGACAGAGATATTCTTACACATTGTTTTTATTTTCAGTAGCTGTTTTAATCGTCACACATTTTTAGGCATAAGTCTGTATGAGATCTTAATGTTAGCCTCAAATTCAGTGATTACACAAATGTCCAACATGGATAATCTAGCATTAACTAACTTCTTTTAGTAAAAATCCTAATGCTAATAAAATAACTAAAATAACTCTAATCTTATCTATATCCTGTTTTCATATTTTGATTTTATAGACTTAAGCAATACTCTAGATTTAGCAGTAGATTTATAATATAAAAAGCACATTATATGGTAGTAATTCTAGCTGTATACCAGGTCTGTTTTAAGTGGTTGGTAAGTTAAGCTCTCTGCCAGCTGCATCTTTTTAACCGTGATACCTCAATAAGAAAGATAGGTCCTTCTGTTTTAGTTTTATGTTGTTCCTCAAATATATTTAAGCGTTATATATATATATATATATATATATATATATATATATATATGGCTGACTTTTTCTTGCAGAGTGAGGTATTACGCGGGGAGGAGCAATGCTACATTAATGTATGGCTGCAACTAACGATTATTTGCAAATTGATTAAGCTGTCGATTTTTTTTATTTTTTTATTAATTGATCAATAATTGGATAGCCAAATGTTCTTTAAAGAAGACTTTTTTATGAAATTAAAGCACGTGAAACTCAAACTTTTCCACATGGATAGAACATATAGACAGACATAGACATGTTAAATTAAAAATGTTTATATATTTTACTATCTTGGTATCATTACTGTGGGTATGTAAGCGGGTTGCTCTGTCAGCTAAAGGCATGTTTTAGAGTCTGCTTACTAAAGTTAACGATTAATCGATTACTAAATTAGTTGACGATTATTTCAATAATCGATTAATCACGATTAATCTCATTGTTTCAGCCCTACATTAATGTATACTTCATACTCCAGTAGAAAACTACACTGCAAAAGAAGTAGATCTAAATAAGTAATCCTTTGTTAAAATAAGTGCATTTTTTCTTGAATTGAGGACCTAACTGAGACATTTTGCCAATTGAACAAGACAATTTAAAATAAGAAAAAAACAATTTCATTTTTTTTATTTCAAGTGAATATTATCTAATTATCTTATTTTAAGATTAAAAAAATCTCATTCCATTGGCAAATCATCTTATTTACCTACTCAAATTAAGCATAAATAAACTTAATTAAATTTCTTTCTACTTATTTCGAGATCGTTTTTGCAGTGTATTCACTTCAGCACGTTCTCCAGCATATGAAAATAATTTTAAACAGTTTGGACTGTATGGCAGAAAGTTTTCGCCTTTTTGAAACCTTTAACTGAAGTTGACTGTTATCTGCTCATGCATCTTAGTTCAATGTGTAATGATTTTGTCCATTTAATATTTTTCCTTATCAAAGCTGGCTCATTAGCTCAGCTGTTCACTGTGCCATGGTGCCACACATGCTTACTCTCACATGTACACAAAGATGCAGTGTTGCTCCCAGCTAGATATTCACCACACTGGAAGAATACTCGGTGTCGGGACAGACCGAGGTTTGTGTTTTGTTGCTAAGGTTTGCATTTCTGTATGTTGTCAGTGTGTGTGTGTGTATGTGTGAGACTAGTTGTCTATGTATGCTAGACAAGAGATCTCATTGTCCCCAGTGGTTTGCTCTTAGAGGAATCAATAGGCATTGTTTGTTTGGCATTCCTAGCTGGCGCTACACTTGGAGAGCCAAATTATATGTAATTGAGGGACAAAAAGTTGAATTTATAGTTCGGAAGACTTACAACTTGATAGTGATAATGATGATGTTGACGCTAGAAGCATGAGAAGGAAAATAACGTCATTATCCAATTAAAAACAAATATATTTGGATTAGACTTCAAGGGCAGGACATGTTTTTACAATTAAAAACGACATAATGACTCCGATTTAGCTTAAAATTAAGTGTTTTCGTTGCTACTCATGGCTGGTGTGTGTCAGCCTTCCAGAACTCAATGTGAGACTAGAGATGGGCTGATATATGCAGCAAACTGTATGTATAAATGTAAAGGTCAGTGAGGATGCTCTGTCTCTCATGGTGCAGTGTGAGCACAAAGGCCAGGGGTGTTGAATTTCCCACTGCGTTGTGTTGTGTGATGACCTGCATCAGCAAACCCTCACCCTGACTCCACCTCGGTCAGAATGCTGAAACTACTTCATTTTACTGAAGAGCAGCAAAACCAGAAGAAGCAGACGCATCTCTCTCCTTCTCGCCGCTGCTGAGGTTGAAAAAAGGAGTCCTGCTTAAAGGTTTTGCTTTGTCAGTAACTCTAATCAACCGCATCATGTGAATAATCACCATATAAATCAATTAGTTATATATTTTTTAATATCAGTGCAAAGTACAAAGTGGGATCTGTTTGTTCCTCTGTCTGTCATTTTTAAATTTTGGACAAAAATAGAAAAAGTTGATTCAATCTAGAGCACAAATTTGAATAATTTCAAAGCAGGATTTCATAACAGGTCAGTTGTTAAGCAGTTTTTATTTGTTCATGTCCTATTCTGTCAAACCAAGTTAATCTGTGGTTATAATGTGGCCCCTCATTCATTTTTCGGGAAGCTTCATCTGGGAGCCTCACCCTCTTTTTTTTTTTTTAAGCTGCACTTCAACATCCCCTCCATACTTTTGCAATACTTAGACAGCTTCGGCTTTTCTAATCAGTTGAGACACGTCTTCATTGCAAAACAGTCTTTTGTGCAGAAGAACACCTCAGCGAATAATCACCAATCAAATTCCGAGGAGGCTTTGTGCTCAGTTTGTGCTTTCTGTTAAAGCTGTGGACGCCGTTGTTGTTGAGCTGATATGTTGTGCAGCTCATTTTGAAGAGAAAGCAAAAGATGTGCAGACTTGTTTGTGATACAGCGCATGCCGTTAAGGCATTTTCAGGTGTCACATGACCGTGAGCTGCCTGTGATGTGCTGATATTGAAGGCATGCTTCTTCTTTTTGCCACCATGCAATGTTTGGACCACGTGCTCTAAAGAGCAATAGGAAGCACAGAGTCTTTCTTGTTTGCTCTCTCTTGCCAACCAGTTCCTCCATTGTGTCTGACCTTGCATCAGCCCACAAAACCTTGGAGCCCGAGGGAGGACTGCTAAAGATGCTGGAAGAGTTTAGGCCCGACAGTCGCTTTAAAATATGGATGGAGTTTTGACTTCTAGATGAATCCATCCTAAAACATAATGTGCATTTGATGCTTGAAGCAAACTTTTTTTACATTTTTTTTTTATAGATTTGCAGGAGAGAGGTACAGTAAAGTGAAACTTGACAGAGGACTGGGTATGCTGACAGGAAAGCCCACTGAGATGAAGAAATCAATAGGGCAAAAAATGCCCACGTCTGGACATGATGGATCATAAAGAGAGCTCATTATCGCTCCAGAACATTACCCTATACTGCATAGTCACAGATATCCACTTGTCTGACTCAAACAGAAACCATGGAAACTGATTAAGACAGATCTCAGGGGGCATCGGTTTTCAAGCGACGAGCCATTAAACTCTCTCGTTTTCTTAAAGACTGTGGCCTGTGCCTTTCATTTATGAAATCTTTATATAGAATCCTCCGTTCCAACTCATTAAGGGTGTCCAGCTGCGGCTTTTGTTCAGGAGAAGCTGCCGTGTGTGTTTGTGAAGAAGTGTTGGCAGGACACAGTTCAGCCACATTAGTCGCATCAACATCATTTGTTATCAAGCAGGTCTTATAGGGGGCTTGCATGCTTACTTATGACAGGACTGACCTTTAACAAGTGCAAAAATGAAATGATGAAGAACTTCTGTCATGATAGTTCTTGGTGATAGAGATTTAACCAAACAAAAATATGGAAGGCCATATATTTGAGGATAAAAAGGATCTTGTGACTGTTTTCCTACATTATCATCCACTTTATCGAAATCAGAAAGTTTTTAATAAAAGTCTATTAAAGAAAACTTAACCTGCTACTGTTTCAAACTGCTGTAAAGTCCATAAAGGCTGATGAAGTTATTTAAATGAATTGTAATTCATTGATAATTGAAAAAAACTAATTTAGTAATTGATTAATCATTAACTACACTATACAGCCTCTAACAAATGCCATCAGCTCAAATAGCAAACTGCTTGGTGCAGTGGTAAATTCTGCCAAAATTGTACAAAATATATAAAAATTTTGCTTATAAGAACTTTTTTTTTCTTTGAATAAGCTCTATCTAGAACCCCCTTAGGTTGTATAGTTTTAGCTTAATGTGATTTAAATTATTGTGTTAAATCTTATAAATGGAACCTTTTCCTCTCTTATTTCATATCCAATAATTGGAAAAATAATCAACAGACTAATCGATTAGCCAAATAATTGTTAGTTGTATCCCCCTGGATTTAGCCACTAAAATTAGGAAAGATTACTGAAACTTAAACTGCATTCTTCATGTGTAGTTTGTGCAAATATGAATTGATAACTTTGCACCAAACTTTTTAAAACATCTTCAACATATCCTAATCTATTTTGTCCAATTACAGACATGGATCTAGAGCTCAAACTGAATAAAATAACTAGTCTTGCAGTCTCCATTCTTTGCAGTCTTAATTACCGCAGATCTGTGCAGAAAGGCTGTGGAACATAAGGTCTAATTTTACATTCTTAAATATATCTATAACTATACAATATATATATCCTTATCTTTTTTTTAAACATAATTGAGACTAAAGAATGCTAAATTTAACCCTTCTTCTTCACTGTTGCTGTCAGTGCACCTCATAGAGGTTATAGCGGGTTTTAACTGACTGCAATTGAATACAATTGATTTTTTTAGATCAAGTTTCAGCTTAAAATCCTCTGCTTCCCGTTACCGGACATTCTCCCAAAATAAATAATAAAAAATAATAATAATAATAAAACACTCCTCCTTTTTCAAGATATGATCTCCTCTGTACTAAAGCTCGATGCTGCGGTTGAATTGTTCAAGCGTTGAGCTTCTATGTGCACCTAGGGAAGTGGAGAAGTTGCAGCATTTGTGCATAATCATTGCTCTGCTCCAAAGGTCATTTCTAGCAGTAATAAGTCATTTGTTTAACGGTCATCTAAGGTAAAGAGGCATCATTTTCTGGTTTTCTTTTAAAATGTTGTATATCTGTGTTGCTAGGCGGTCTTAGCTTGGGCTAAGCGGCTGCAGAGCTCTGATATAACTTGTTGCGTTGTTATTAACTTAGCAGGGGTCAGTTGTGCTGTTTAAGGTGCACATGTTTTTCTGGGAAATGCAATTTCTCTGTGCAGAGGGTGTGGTGACTTAGGCTGCTGGTGTGATAAGAGCAGGATGGGCCCCTGGGAGTCCAATCATGCAAATGGTGAGTCAAATGGTATACCAAAAACATTTAAAAACACGCCATTTTTAAAAGAAGCCGGTAGTCGAGAAAACAAGCCTTCCTCTTTTCTAACTTTTGAATGTATCATTCTTTGATGAGCATAATACCGTTGGCAGTTTACGGCAGCGTGATTGATCACCTGTTTATGCGAGAGGCAGCAGTTATATAAATATTAAACAGTGATAATTTTCGCTCTGCGTCTGTGTTTTTCCCCAGCAGCAGTCAGGTCAGCCTCCTGTCTGCTCCCCACCTCCCTCCTCTCTCTCACCTGGCCCTCAGCCCAGAATGTTGCTGCAATTTTCCTCCTTCTGATTGGTCCCCACTCTCACAAGACTTCACAAGAAAGGAAATGACTAAACTCTTCTCCCTCTTGCCCTGCCTCAACTTCCCTCTTTGCTTTCACTCTCTTCCTTTCATTTTTTATTTTTTTTTTCCCTAAACGCTTTTTCTAACTGACCTTTACTTTACGGGGTGGAAAACGACACGAAAATCTGACCTGATCTGATTTTAAAGCCTCAATCGGAAGAGGCGGAAGCTGTGAATGGCTGCTTTGTGGATTTTGTAGTTGTGTGAGTATGAGTGCAATGACACGATGAGCATGCGTTTGTATTTAGTGCACAGGGTATGCTGAAAGCTATTTTTGTTATTGGCTAATGTTGTGGTATTTCAGACATTTTTTTTTCCACTTTTTTCCAGCTGCATAGTGTTGTAGTGGCACGATTTAAAGGTGCAGCAGATAAGAAGTTTATCTGGAAGACACGAGGCAGAGGAAAACACGATATTTTTTTTAGTGGCCGTCATTAGACTAATTTGTTTGTCTTTCCCTCTCTCCTCAGAGGAAGTGCCTTCCCTGATGTCTGCTGCAGCTTTGACCTGCTTCTACAGCTGAAGCTCCATCCCCCTCTCCCCTTGCTCGCTCGCTTGCTGCCACAGTTCTAAGAGTAAAAGGACAACGACCACACCTTTCCCCAGTTTCTCCACCATCAGCATCCACTCCAGCATCAGCCCTCCCCACCAGACGGCCCTGCTGCTCACTACCAGCTGACCAGCCTTACCACTGCACCACCAGGCCCCACAAACAGCATTTCACCCACCTTGCCTTTCACCATCGCCTTCAACCCCTTGAGGCCTCCGCTCAGATCTCAGTGTCCTTAATTTTCCTGAAGCAGACTTTATAGACTGTCACCTTTGTTGCCTGCTTCACTGCACCCAACCAGAGGGCTCTCAGTTTGGACGTTGCATAAGAAAGTAAGCAATAAACTAAAAGAGTGAAGAGGGACACATTTGTAGGCTCCTGGATATCAGATCTTTGCCGGGTGTTACGTGCATCAGGAAAATGACCCATTAACGTCCTCAGCAAACACTGTCCTGCAGCATTTCACCAATCGCATTTTTCTGAATGTTTTATTTCAAATAATCACAAGCAGCAAAGATATAAAGGAAACATTTTTTTTTTTTTAAAAGGACATTTGTGGATTTAAAACACTAGAAGTACTTTATCCGCACCTGACGTGTCTCTGCTAAGAACACCTTTTGCCTGCGTGTTGCCATGGCCATGAACATAGCACACATCCGCGACACAAAGTGGCTGACACTGGAAGTATGCCGAGAGTTTCAGAGGGGCACTTGCTCACGCTCCGACCAGGAGTGCAAGTTCGCCCATCCGGCGAAGAGCTGCCAGGTGGACAACGGGCGGGTGATTGCTTGCTTCGATTCACTTAAGGTAAGAGAGAGCGAAGCTACATCTCAGTAAGGCAGGCTGTTCTAAAATAAGTGGCTTAAACGCCATTTGAGGAACTTCGCTGAGTTAGAAACTGAAACTTGTTTTCAGATGTAGCATCCGGTCACAACATGGCTTATTTTAGCGCTACGCCTTCCTGGCTATATGAGTCTGCTTCTAGCACTTAAGAAAAAGGAAGCTTATTTTTTTTCTTATTAAAAATGGCTTTTTTTTTTCTAAAGAAGCAGTAATGGTAGATGTAACCTCTGGAACGGGCGACATTTTCTGACCTGTTGTCTGCTGATGGGTTGAGAATTTAATAAGCAGGTGTTGGACTTTACATCCACATAGCAACTTTATTTTTTTATTAATTTCCCCTCCTCTCAGAAATGAAAACAATGCTGTCTTGTCTGCTGACTGTATCAATGCCCTGAGTATTTCACATTTCAATAGCTGTTGAGGAGTGAAGCATTCGCATCGTTCAAACCACTTCCTGTGTAAAAGCCTAAGGGCTGCCACAGGAGGTTGGCGTGAGTATCTCTATAAGCATATCTGTGTCTTTTAGAGTACAGTTGGAGACAGATTTTCAACATGGGAGCAAAAAGTTTGCAAGTTTGAACAAAAATAGTAAACACTTTCCTTTCTTGGCCATTCCTGGTTAAGAAGTCTAACAGTCTTTACAGGATGACACAAAAAATAAAGGTTTAGATTTTGTGTTTTGCTTGATTTTACCTCTATGACTAATGAGTAGGTTAGGATTAAAAATAAGACCGAGCTGTTAACCCTTTATATGGCACTCAGTGAAATACTTTAAAAATCCAAATTTCAAGCCAACGGTGTTATTGGAATCCAGGACAAGACCTTATTACCTTCGAAACATTAAAAAAATATGGATATTTTGATGGCAAAAATGAATGTCGATGTGATAACAAGAAACACCAACTTGCCTGAATATATGAAGAAAAATAACAAAAGTGCTTCTATAAGAAATTCATGAAAAACACTCAGAGAGTGAAAGAAACACATTTTTTTGGCACAACATAACCGTAGAGGCATTAATGCTGATACTGGCACATTGTTTTAGTTTAAAAAACCTAAATATAATTGTTAACTGGGCTTATTAACTTTATAATAACCTGTGATTTAGCTTTTTACCTTGACTTTTTTGTTTTAGCTTTATTTACAGTAGGAAATATATCACTCAATTGTTCATCTAATTGGTCAAATGCCAAAATAAGATGCACAGCCATGTAGCAGTATCTTTCCTGAATGGCTGGATATAGATCTTGTGCTTCTAGACCTCACTGAGGGACGGAGAGGGATTCCATTTTTAATGGGTATGCCAGGGATCAAAAACAGTAACTTGCACTATAAAGGGTTAAAGTTCACTCAAAAATAAGAGTTTATAAAGGGATTTAGACAAGAAAAAAGCCGAATGCATGATTAGTAAATGTAGTTTTGGTCCATCTATTACATTAATGGTGACTGCTAAATCATTTTACAACCTCTGTCTATTGAATTATAACAAACACAACAATTTTACAGGTTTGTGTTTATTTCCTTCCATTACCTTGCTGTAGAGATGCGGCTATGCTACCAGAAATTAACTGCAGGATTAAAACCAATCAATAAGCCAATTTTCTTCTGTATAGCTCTTATAGGTCGTGCAACATTTAATCTCTGTAAACACATAAACCAGAAGTATTTACTATTATGAACTTGAGTTGAACAAAAATATTTAGTCACGGTTAAGTAAAAAAAAAAGATCTATATTCCATGCAGATCAAATTTTAAAACAATGTTTTAATTTGACCGGCACATTCATTAAATGTAGAAAGAATGTTGACATTCTGTATCGGCCCCACCAGAGTCCTCACTTGAATCTGATACAGAACTGAGGTGGGAGTTAAAGATAAGGGTGATGGCAAAGAGACCTTTTAACAGGAATCATTTAGATAGCAGTGAAAACATGCAAAACTCTGCTCAGCATTCCTTAAAAAAGGTTTGATTGTTTTAATTGCAATGATTTACCATTGACAACTAGGCAGAATAGAAACAATTCTTAAATGTCATTAATGTCATTAAAAAACTATTAAAAGAGATTTATTTATTTTTATTAAAACTACAACTCATTTTAAATTGTGTTTTTGTCATTGGATACATGTAAGTATTAGAACCAAAGTTCTGAGTGGAATAAAATGTACTGTAAATTTAAAACTTGCTTGTATGCTTGTAGTTGCTTCATTTTCTTCTGTAATCCTCTATAAGGTCTGACCTTATTGGAAATCAGTAAAAGTCGAAGAAAATCCATCTTGATATGATACATCTTTGAATAAAAGGTTGTACTTGGCAAAATATATCAATAAATGATAACTAGGACAACAGAAATGTCTGCAGCCAATCTAGAGAGTTCTAACTGCTACAAAAACAGGACAGCATACTCCTGACTATTTTGAGGTCACAGTCCCCTCAGTTTTACAGCAATGGCATGTCATTTGAGCAGGAAGATCTTACCATCTATCTATAGGTTTATATATTGTCTTCTGTACTGAAAAACAGGCCATCAGGAAACCAGGCAACTCTTAAGTATCTATTTGCAAATCCCAAAAGGAATTAATTTATTAGTTTAAACAAATTTTCACTGGGACTTGCACTGATCTTTTTTAAATCGTTTGTCCCATTTACTTTTCTGAACCAGAGCAGTTCTTTGCAGTCGAAAGAAGCAAATTGAGCAAAAAGATAAAAAAATTACAAAAAGGAAGCCTGTTGATTATTTGAACACCTAAAATGCAAATGCAAAGACATATCTGCATTGCAACGCATAAGTGAGGTATGCAAAGACCCACAGACATATTCACCGACAGCAAGTTGTCCTACTTTAAATTATTGTTGAAATAGGACAAACTCTCCAGTGAGCACCGTTACAACAGGCCATATTGCTCTCCTTTTACTTGTCTCGCTCTCACATCAGTGCATCCACTTGGACGTGTGCACAAGCTCCTGGCCCATGAGAGCGGATCGACCTTCTTCTTGAGAAGTATATAATTAGAACAGGTCTCACATGATCACCAGTGCATTGCTGAGCAGGTCACACCCAAACCGAGTCATTTCCCCAACATCCACTCTCTATCTCTTTTTAGCCTGCATTTCATGTCTTACACGTGCACACAGCCATGCTCTGAGATAACGCACACTCTATGCACATGGTGCCTCTAGTTTACACAAGCAAAAAACATTAAGGAGTTATCTTTTTTTCAAAAACCAACAAACGAAAAAACACGCTTTTGGTTTCCATGTCATCACTTTTGGATTATAAAGCTTCCTTTTAGAGAGCGTTTAAGTAGACCGCAGCATTTGTGCATGTGTGCAGTTGTTTTCTCCCGCCTTAGACTTGG